GTTGTGAAGGTCTCGAAGTTTCTCGTCAAGTGATGCGACATGCAGGATGCGAGGACTTCGCTCTGTGGTGCAGGTCGGCAAAGGCTCAAGATTCCAAGGCAAGTTGCAAACGTTGCTTTATCTTTCTTTTTCTTTTTGGCTTCCCTGAAAGCGTTCCTTGTGTGTTGTTCTTGGCGGCTGAGCTGTGACGTGCGGGCTAGGCTGGTAGTTTCCTTCTAAAGGCTGTTTCTAACTGCTAGCGGTTTCCTGGTCAATTCCATTTTTTTCACTTTTTGGCTCCCTAAAAGCATTCCTTGTATGTTGTCTCAGCGGCTGGTGTGTGACGTGCGGGCTGGCACAAAAATGGTTTAGGATCGATTTGCCTTTTTTCTTTACAGTTTAGCCCCCTGAAAGCAAAAACAAGTGTTTCTCCTTGTGTGTTGGTTTTAGCGGTAGCAGTCCTTGCGATAAAGCCTTAGAAAACGTTCCCTATGTGTTGTTCTGAGTGGTAGCATCCGCAAAACAACTTCTGCAGAAGACACAAAAAACATGTTGCTTTATCTTCTTTGTTTTTGCCCTCAAAAGCGAAAATGAGTGGTTTCAAAGCGAAAAAAAATGAATCGTTTTGTCTCTAGTGGTGGCAGTCGTTGCAAAGCACTGGCAAAGTCATGGTTGTACATGCAGTGCAGAAACACATGTCTGCTTTGGCTAAGACGTGGCCAGACTTGAAAAGTCCGAGCAAGTGATTGCATTTGGAAGCTGATTGTCTTGAGACTGCACTTGTTGTGTTGATACCATTTCCAGACAAGTAAACGTCCATTAAAGGCGTTTGGGTGGTTTCATGAAAATTCAATCAGGGCGAAAGTAGCATGAAACGTCAAAAGCTAGTTGTACTGCTTGCAGAGCTGTGAGGTTCTCACCTGCGTCTGGCCTCGGTGCAAAAAAATTCTAGCAAAATCATGGTAGTTTTTTTGGCTCTTCAAAAGCGAAATGTGTGGTTTCTCCTTGTATGCTGTTCACAGCAGTAGTGGTCATTGCATGAAAGTACTAGCACCATAATGTTGCTTCATCTTTGTTCTTTTACTGTTTGGTCCCCCAAAAGCGAAAACGAAAATGAGTGGTTTCTCTTTGTATGTTGTTTTAGCGGTGGCAGTCGTTGCAACAAAGTACTGCGTTGATTTGTTTTTTTCTTTTACGGTTTGGCTTCCCAAAGCGAAAATGAGTGGTTTCTCCGGCGGAGGGGTTTGTGTTTAACCTGAACTCCAACCCTGGCCTGGACGGAGGGAGAGAGTTTGGGTTTTGGGTTCAACCCGAACTCCAACCTCCCTGTGAGGGTCTGGGTTGGGGTTGAACCCAACTCTCGAACTCTGACCCCAGGGTTTGTTGTTGTTCTCCCCTTTTTCGAGGGAGAAGGGTTGCTCGAGGTTGTTCGAACCCAGGTTCAACGGTTCAACCCAACCGGTGGCGGACCAGCCTCTGTATGGGCGTCCCCCCGCAGACTTCATACGAATGGAAACATGCCCTATTTGAAAAAAGATGTCAGCAAATTCATGGTCCGCAATGGCCAACACCGCCAGTTGGTCCTTTGCAATGGCTGGTGAGGTGACCAATAGATCCTTCACCGCATGGGAGTTTGTGTCGGGCTTGGGGTAGCCGGGTGTCAGGGCCAAATTTACCATCCGCATCAACTTGCCAACATGGATGCTGCAACACCGCCCCTAAGTCCCGAGGTATGCCCAGACTGTTGCCACATCCCTGCACTCCTATTTGTAGGCTTTCTACTTTGTCAAGCCACCCCAACCAACTGGCTGGTGCGCCAGCTTCTCGTAATGAGCCCCAGGCATTTTGGCAAAAACCGAGAAGCCACTGTGTGAATTGGCGGCTCAGACACAAAGATAACGGTGAATGGCACATGGAGAGTTTCAGCCATGCCAAGCTGCCAGCTTAAGAAAGCAGCCAGTTCTGTCGAAAGGAAAGAAATATGATCGACTGGCGAGCATTTGCTACATGCTTTTCATGCCTGCCCAGCATTTTGCTCGAAGCATCTGCGCTGATGGGTAACGGGGCGGGATCTGAGCGCTATCTCGTACCGGTGCATGAGGTGCCATGTGCGGGACAGATTCCGATTCATGTCAATGTGGAAGTGAACTTTGGACGGACAGTGCCGCTCAGTGTGCCACGAAATGATACTTGGCCTGACATGTGTGCTGTCGGCATTGGCATAGCATAACCATGACGGGCCATGACCATCCCCTGCACACTTTCGCTCTTTCACCCGCATCGTGTCCCCGACTGAAAAAACCGCGTTTCATGTTCTGGATGCATTTTTTCCGAGTAGTCCTGAGCAGTCTTGCCATCGGACAATTTAAACCAAATTCACTTGGAGGGTAACCGGTTTTTTGAAGACTGTTGTGTTGACCTGCTTCGGCCAATGCTGTCCCCGTTCGTCTGACACACAAGATCCATGAAGCTAGAAAAGGTGCGTTGTTTATTTTTCGATGGGAGGCGTTCAAAAGATTGCCCAAGGATCCGCCCTATAGTGCCTCGGCTGCGGCAGCAAAAGCTTCCGCTGCTGCTGCTGCTGCGCGAGAGGCGAGGCCCTAGGTATCGTCAGGACAAAACCTTCCACTATGCGGAGAGACTCACGAAGTCTTACTTCCCGACATTGCCAGTCTTCCTCACACCCATGCGCGATTTGCAGTGATCTTCTAGCCGACAGCTGCTTATGTAGAGGTTGGAGTTGTCGTTCCAAAGCGCTGTTTCCTGTCTGGCCTGGAGAGGTGGCGTCCAGGTGCCCGCCGCGTGAATATCGTGAGGCTGGGCAGCTGCTGCTTCACACGCCACCGCTGCCGGGCTGAAGCACGTCACTGGCTGGCATATCGGCGGTGGCATGGGGCCGCTTGGCGGCTGGATGAATTGAAAGAAGCTCCAGAACAAATCTCTCAGGAGCAGCTGCGAAGGGAGCTGGAACCCTACAAGAAGAGCACTTTCTGCATCTGTGAGATCGCGTGATCCTTTTCTCGCTAGTGTTTCGAGACACTGCTTGCGAAGCAGGGCACCTCCGTTTAGTTAGGATTTTCATGTTTTGCTCACTGCTGTTGTTCCCGAATGGGATGTGCCGGAGACCAACCATGCCGTGTATATTCCCTCTCAAGGAGGAATTTTTCTGGCAGTTCGGTTGTCCTGGCGCTGTACCCCGACGACTTTAACCTGTTGCTGCGAGCGGGCGATCGCGTCTGCTTGGCAAGGTGGGAAAAGGTTCTCCTGGCTGCCCCGAGATATCTGCTTTGTTCGGCAACAGCCGGTGTGCAGCACAGCAGCTTCGATCACTTCAAGTTGTTGACCTCCATTCCTCGCTTTGCAAGAGAGCTCGCCGCCCGAAGCTGGCTCACTTCCGAACCCCCTTCGCGTTTTCCTGCTGCGCGACTTTTTTCTATGCAGACCGGAACAATACAGCAAACGAGGCCAGTCCTCTAAGTCTACTTTTTAAACCCATCCGGGGTTCCACACGAGTCCACCCCATAGCCAGAACGAGCCGAGGCCAAATGAACAGGCATGAGTGCGCGCAGATTGCCCGGAAATCGCTCGAGGAGACTGGCCAACGGACTAGCGCCGTGTTAAGTCGGGGGGGCTCAGCAAGGTTTGTTGTCGTCTCGCTGCTCCATGTGCAACAAGCGTGATCACTCGAGGGTGACATGTGATGGGCTTTGACGGCACAGCGGGAGAACGACACGGCAAAGACAGCACCGTAAAGGGGGCTCATCTGAAAGCACGAAGACGGTTGTGGACACCCGCTGCCCGCGGAGAATCTGCAGCTCGCACGAAAGCAGAAACGCCGAGAAGAGCCAGGATCTGACAGACGCAGGAAAGCGCACTCCTCCACAGCTCCATCGGCTTTCAGGTCGGTTAGCATCAGTACCGCAATTTTTGCGGTGCACTGGACCAAGCCGGTGTAAGCACTCCACCCCTCCATTTCGAGCGGAGGAGTTGTGCTCTTGTTACGACGCTGCGTGTCACAGGTTCAGACGGCGGCTCAGTGCGGCATCTGTTCAGGCATTTTGTTTCTGATAGGACAACAACATGCCCAATAACGTTTTGCCCAGAGACTCGCGCCGGTGCTTCATGCCAGTGGTGGATTTGATGTAGTGCCAGAGTTGGAAAGGTTTGGAGTGTGTCTCCGATTCTTCCATGGCAGCCTGAAGCAGTTGACAAGCATTTCAATCTCCTGCTCAGTCGCACGTGCGGTTCCCTATTCCTTAACGAAATGAAGGCCATGCCCCGGATTCGAAACGTTGTTCGTCTTGTTGGAGGGGGGATGAAGGTTGAGCGAGCTCAGCTTTCCAGTAGATGGCTGACATGTAAACGTATAAGCTGTATAAACATCTGTCTCAATGCGAGTCGGCTCATGTCACACCCCCAAGTGTGGCAAGACATTGCATGTAAGGACGCAAGGAACATACAGTTCAACAGCTCAAGCAGCTGTGCACATGCAATTTCCGGGGGGAACTCAGCAGCGCCCGAGCAAAAACAAGAGAAAGAAACATTCGTCGTGTACGACTGAAGCGGCCAAAGGGATCGGCCTTCAGGTCACGGCACTCTGCCCATGGAACGGCGAGGAAAAGGCAATGACACCGTGCTTCGTGGAGCGCGATCTCTCATAGTGCGATGCGTGTCGAAAGAAAGCCTTTACCAGCCAGAATTTCGAGGTCGTCAGGTTTGCAATTTCGCCGGTCTCAGCCTAGATATCCGAGCAGCGTTGCTGCTGGATCCATAACCCGATATGTCTACCGGAGACTTCTCGTGAAGAGAACCCGGTCGATGGGTGGGTTCACACATGAAGACATTCATGTTGCAAGGATGTTATATGTGTTATTGTGATGTTGACAAAGACAACGAACAACAGGAACGGCGGAACCAATTTGGCGTCAGACGAGAACTTGGCTCAATTGGCTCAGATTTGAGAACCCGATGAGACATGTTCACAGATCTCTTGATGGTTTTGTTGAGGCATTGCTTAGTTTGGGTCGCATTGTGATTTGAGTCTACATGCAACCCGCGATGCTCAAGTGAAACCAGAAGTATCGAAGAAACATAGCCAGAACAACTGCAATGACCATGCTGTAACTACTGCCAAGAGCGAGCAACATATGTCTTACATTGTACTTTTGGCATATGCAGATGCACGTTAATGGGCGTAGAAGATGGCATGTTGATGGCCCTCTCAAGTCTAAGACTGTTGGACTTTACGTTTAAAGGTTGTGCACTCAGAGTACCCAGCCGAAGCCTGCCTCGAGTCAAAGATGCTCAGAGATCTGCTGTCGGGACCTTGGTCCGCTGTGTCGTTCCGTGTCAGACTGTCCAGCGAGAGGCGCCACGTGCACTAAGGACTGCCCTGCATGATTCGTCTCATGTCGAAGCATGTCACCCGGGAGACTTCCTGAGTCACGTGCTGCGCTTGGAGCGTGATTTGCGCGTTGTGATGCGCTCTGCTTCGAGGGCTTCGCTTCGCCAGGTTTGGAAGCGCGAGTCCTTCGATGCGCCCCCAGATGCAGGCACGAACGCAGAACGAAGAGCCGAGGGTTAAAGTTTCTAATCGCACCTGTTTTGACGATGGCATGGGAGGCTTTGGTTCTTTTCTGCACACTCCAGCAGCAATGCGAAGGCCACAGCGCATTCACCGCAACAGTCGTGCACAGTTGTTGGTTGCCCCTGCCACATGTGATGCCGCAAGCCAGGCACAATGTGTCTTTCAAGCAAGACGAGGGGAGCGTGGACACGACGAAGTGTGCCTGTGCGGCAGATCGGTAGTTGGCGCTGTGGTTGTTTGCCCGTGCCTGCCAGCAAGAATCCGTCGTGACCCAGGCTATTGTCCCGCGATGGGGCATTGCGTGCCAGGCAATTGAAACAAGATGTTAAGGGATTTCTTGCCTCCCTTGATTGCAGCCGGCAGGTTTTCAGTGTCCACTCGGGGAGCACATCGACAGATCGACACGTGGATCAAAGAAGGGAAGTGGGAGCGAACGGCTGCATCTGCGTGATGTGCTCATGGTAGAGTTTCAGGAAGTGCTTCAGCACGGTGACGGCTGGGAGCCAAGCGTGCCATGTCTGTCTGCGCTCGGAGGGGCCCCTTCAGTGGAGGTTCGATATGGCCCTGACACGGACTACCAAGAATGCCTCAAAGAAAAGGCTGCCCGATCAATGCTGTCAGACTCCTGGCAGCAACAATTCCTGGAAGGAAGAGGAGCCGGAAAAGAAGTGCGAACTCAAGATGCTGCAAGACATGCATGGGCCCTGAAGTCGTGTCGTCTTTGGCTTCACTGTGTTTCGCCGTGCTTGGACAGAAAGATCGGCACCGGCGGGTGGCGATACTTTGGGGGCGAAGACCATCCCATCGTCAAGAAGGCCATGCACGGCAAGTCTGCGGACCTTCCCTCTTTTGGATAGTGAGTAGCCAGGTGAAGGGTGTTGCGGAGGCAGCGGGCGTGAAGAAAGGCCGACACGAGAGTAGAAGAGATGGGCTTGGCCCGTGCGAGACACGATGGCGCTTGTATTGTAGGCTACGAGCTCATTTCCATCGATGGTAACCAGGCTGGGCGCCGGGAAAATAAGGGGGAAACGTGAGGCAAACTACGGCCTCGGAGACCCCGCAGCAGCAGGCAGTCTTTTGTGGCCGGTTCTAATGCTCATGTATGTTCCAGAGGGGCAGGGATCCGAATCAGAGTCTCGCTCTGGACCTAGGGCCCCGCACTTTCAAGCCATCCTGTCACAGCCGCTGCCGCTGCTCGAGTGGCTTCTTGACAGGCAGACTGGCGGGAGAAGGGGTTCAAGGCAGCAACAGCTTCTCGAAGCATGCCCTGTCGTGTTCGTAGGCCTGTAATGCACCTCTGACTCTCTCTTCGGAGGAGTACGTGAAGAACTTGAATTGGGACGTCCCGTCCGGGTTCCGGGCATGCGAAGCGCAGTCTAGAGCAGTGTGTTAGGGCCTAGGCGTGTTGCAGGTGTTTCGGTGCTTCGCCTCTTTTCCACAGAGGCCTCCGGGGCAGCCCGTGGAGTGCGAGCCCGGCGATGGCCCGGGGCAAAGCAACGGATGCGTGGCGTGGCGAGGCGGTGGCCTCCGTATGTCGCGTTTCGACGCGGCCGAGGCTGCAAGAAGCCCTGCCCTCCGCCTCCGCCTCCGCCGGTGCTCCCGCGCTCCTCGGCTCAAGTGGTCCCCGGGTGTTTCTGTCTTTGCTGGCTCTGGGCCTTTCCAGGTTTTGGCCCCCTTTTGGGGCGCTCTCCCTTCTCCTTTCAGCAGCTGCCGAACGTCGAGGAGGCCCGGCTCAGAGCGGGCGCGAAACCTCGCCTCGCAGAGTCGCAAAGATGTGCAAAAGAGAGCAAAAGAGAGGCTGCGGGGAAGAAGACGTGCTACCCCAACGGCCTGAGCCTTCGAATTCCTCTCGCACAGTGCGCTTTCTTGTAGACGCATGGTCTCTATCTGCTCTGAAGGCCACTCCTTGACCTTCAAGGTCACCGCGCCCCCGTGGATGTTCTGGGCTCGGAGCCTCAGAGAGGCCTCTGAATCAGAGTGTGAGACTCTCCTGGTCTGTCTGCTTCCAAAAAGGCACAGACGAAGACCACCTGTCGTGAGAACCTCGGAGTGCTCGCTGCAGATGGTCTGGCGGTGGAGCTCTCTGGTCTCTTCTTCCCGTTGAGGTGCCTTTCGGGAGACCTGCTGTGCCGAGGCATCCACCAGGCCTCGTCGCATCTTGTCGGAAAGCGGGAGACCAGCACGTCATGGCGCTTTGATGCATGGAGGCGGAAGCCGGAGGATTCCTCTCTAGCGAAGCGGCGGAGCGTTGGGGTTCCGCTTCCGGCGTTTTGTGGGCCCGGCGTGAGGACATCTTCGCGGAGAGCTGTGCGACGAAGGAGGCCTCCGAGCCAGAAGTCCTCCTTTCACGCTCTCAGCGCGCCCTGGGCAGATGTGCAAGCCTCAAGAGAGCTGCGACCAGATGGAGGGCAGACCGGGCATCTGCAAGTACCAGGCAGTTCTCCGGATCCCTCGGAGTGCCACAGTAGAGCACAACATGGAGGTGCTGGAGCTGAACGGCGACTATGACGACAAGCAGGAGAACGAAGACAAGCAGGACAAGAGGGTCTTGGGCCCCTGGTAGCCGGGAGCCCCGTGCCCTGCGTGCGCATCGCGGCAGGAGGAGGCCATGAAGCAGGCCGAGGAGCAGGCGGCGCCCGCGCTTTCCGGGCACGCGCGGGGCACCGCTGCTTTCAAGAGCGTTCCTTCTCGCTTTTGGGCCAGGAGCAGAATCAGGAACGCGAGGAAGAGAGGCAGGAGGCCGAAGATGCTGGCGAGGAGCCGGAGGAGCAGTCCGCTTTGAGCTTTCAGGAAGGCCAGGAGCAAGGGAACGGGCAGGAAAACGAGCAAGGGCAGCAGCAAGACAACGGGCAAGAGAACGGGCAAGAGAACGGGCAGGAAGGGGAGGCTCGTTCCGGGGACAGCTTCCTGTGCCATGACCTCAGTGCTGTAGGAACGAGGGGCATCGGATCGGAAACTTAGCACTGACTTGCTCTTGCTTTCGGGCTGCAGGACGGGCTCTGGACAACAGGTGGGCAAAGGATCCACGCAGAGAGCGAAAAAGGGCTCCCTCTCCATCTCTGAGAGTCTCTGACTCGATAGCTAGCCATCGCTAGGAGGAGCAGATCTGAGTCGCAGCGCAAGGCAAAGAGGCCGCCGCCATTGTCCGTCTCAAGCGTGTCTAGCGACGTAGGAAGGAGAGGGAGGGTTTTGGGCCTCTCCTGGCCTCGCGTGGAAAGAGCTCCTTGAACAGCAGCAGAGCCTGTGGAAGCAGACTGCGTCGCGGGCCGCATCGCCTGACATCTCAGGTGCTGCGCAGCAGCCGAGAGGCCCCCGAGTAGCGCACAGCGCGCCCGGACCCCCAACAAATTAAAAAGAAGATGGAGCGATCGGTGGAGCGCCTGCGCGGAGCGCGCCCCGCGCCGATCCATGTGCTTGTTCTCAGGTGCGCACACGTTTTAGCGAGGCAGCGGCGGGTTTTTGGAGCCATCGGCGAGGCGCGGCCGGGGTCTCGGGCTCTAGCAAAGCAGAGGAACTGTTCCGGCTTTCGGTCAGGTGAGCTGCACGGGCAATTGACGCGGCACGGCGGAGCGTTTTGTTCTTTGTGTCCAAAGATTCTTTCTGCGCTTAATATTTACGCCTCCTGTTTTTGCCCCCTGCCCCCAGCGCCCGCGCAGGACGATGGGAAGATGTGGGGCCCTTTGGCCTCCTCTGACCAGAACGGCCCCGGTCTGCCCAGCAAAAGTTTAGACTTCGTCTTCCGCTACTCGCCGCTGCTCGCCCGAGCGCCAGGCGTCTTTTGTCCTGCGCTGGCTTCCAGCGGCCTTGCTGCTCTCGCTGCAGGATCTTTTTTTCAAGAGCCACGGAATCAAGCAGCAAGCATGAAGTGCCAGGAGCAGGTGACCGCCATCGGGACGGGCATAGCTCCCGAACGCGTTAGCTCGCTGGCAGGCAACCTGCGTTAGAGCGAGAGAAGCCTGCAGCTGCACCAGAAGTGCGTGAGGCGAGGTCACGCTCTACCTGCCGGCTCCAGCAGAAGCCCTTGAGCCATCCGGCTGCAAGTGACATCCAAGCGCGTCCCCGCCGGTGCAAACGTCTCCGTCAGGTGCGAGCTCTTCCGAGACAGCGGTGTCGGGGACGAGCCTCGCTTCGAGGCAGGCTGCTGGGGGAACTGTAGGCGACATGTAGAAGAAAGCAGCTGCAAGCACGCTCTCAGGAGGGCAGTGTTGTTCCCACAGGTTTTGTTTCGGTCGCCTCGAGCGACGGGCAGAGATGTCATTCGGAAGGGACGGCGCCGTGACTCCCAGGTCTACCGGGGAGACTGCGAGGTGGCCGTCCGAGTGGATGGCGGGGGTCCCGGAGACGAGACGACAAGCCCAAACTCCAATAAAGATGCCCGATAGTCGCTTCACCTTTCGAGCACCGCTGGCCCCGAGGCCTCCTGGTGGACCGGAACTACCAATTCCAGGCTCGCGGCATCAACGCGGCTCGGCAAGAGCAGCCGAAAGGCCTCAAAAAACATGCTGAAGGGCGGATTTTGTGCAAAGGCTCGTCATGTCTGCTGTTCTGGCCACGGCCATCCTTGCTTCTTTGGTCTCAGGGACGTGCGCACCAAGGGAGCGGAGGCTTTGTGGAGCAACGGTGCAGGCTTTCTCCCCTTTCCCCGAGGGCTCTCCGTGAACTTCCCCTGCGATCCTGATGTCTTTGCTCCGGGGTCTTGTGGGGCAGTCGGAACGATCTTCCTCTTCTTCGCTGTGATGCTGCGTTCCTCAAACCTCTTAGGGAATGAGGTGCGCAGCGTCGGGGCGGAACGTTTGTAGGACAGCCAACCGGAAGCTGCTGTGTTGAAAAAGCGGCGCTAGCTGCGCCAGGGTCGGCCCAGGCCTCCGGCCTTGGGTTTCCTCCTCCTTGAAGTTCGTTGTGCTCTCCACTACGAGACTGGAACCCCCCCCCCCCCGGTGTCCCGCTTTTCCCCAAGCCCGATAGAGACTGTTAGAAACATACGCATCCTTTTTTTTCATCGCTGTTTGTGCGCGCGCTGTTCGCTTCGCGGTCTCCGCTCTTCGCTTCGCATCCGAGGCCGCTGGCGTGGCGGGCGGGAGGAGTGAGATCGTCAACTACGCTTGGGGCTCAGAAAGGGAGCCAGAGCTGAGAGCCATGAGGGGCGCCATGAGCTGCGATCTGCTTTTTGAGAACATGGCTATTGATGCCTTTAGTCCGCTGCAGTCCGTGGCTTCTCAAATTTGCTTCGCAGTTAAGATGGGTGCCGGCGGGAGCTGCGTGCATGGGCACGTGCAGGTGCGGGCGACGGCGAATCCGCACTGGCACGTTCCGGTGCAGTCCGTGCAAGCGGTGCAAGTTCCAACTCATGTCAATGTGCAAGTGCGGACCCATGTGCCGGCGCCGGTGAGCCCGCCCGTGCCCTGCTCGCCGGTGATCCCGGTGAGCTGCCCTTGTCCGGTGAGTTGCATCTCGGCAGAAGAGCGGATCCGGATCCAGCAGTGGGCAGCGCAGGTCAGCTCGCAGGTGGGTTTCACAGTTTCCCCTTCAATGTACTGGACATGCCACTCGATGAACATGGACGTGTTGAGCGGCTTGTCTGCGGCGGACCGGTGGCGGATGCAGCATTTTCTCTCGGGGCACTGCGGACACTGCTGTTCAAGTGTTGACGCTTGGCAATCAGATCGTCGTGGCGTTGCGCAAGTGATCTTGCTACAGTCTTGCTTCTGACAAGCTAGGGCCAATGCTTTTCTTTCTGAACGACTCTTCCCGGCTCACCGAGGATGTGTCAGTGCCAGTTGTAGCACCGGTGAAGGTCCCAGTGGAATCTCGGCACAAGCGATGTCGATTCCTGTCCGCAGTCTTTGGCACGTGTGGATGTCAGCTCTGTGATTTTAGGCCGTCAGCTCTGTGTCGTTTACTACACCGCCACCTGCTTGGACTTCTTCAGCCACTTGCACCAATGAGCAATGCTTCGCCAAGAAGCGACCAAAGCGCTTAAAGTGCTTTCATGCCGGCTGTCTTCAATCTCACAGGTTGGATCTTGGACAACATGTGCGATTCCCGTGGCCACGGCCGCTTTGCAGCAAGGAGCTGTTTCAACTCTATCATGGCCCCTGTTTTCCGCCCGCCCCCCCACAAGAAACCAAGGAGGCTCCCCTACCACCGCCAGCTGATCCGCCACCAGGCTGCGCCGCAGCTCCGCAGGCAAGCAGTGGTCAGAGTCTTTGTGGAGAGCTTGTGCTAGGGCGGGCAGAGTGCAGGTGCCTTTCTTCCAGAAGCTGCACTTGCTTCAGTCCCAAGTGTCCGCGTTGAACAATGCCATTGGCTGCGAACTCGTCACCCAAGAAGACATGGCCTTCGTTTCCAGACATTGTGGCGAGGTGGACCAACATGCAATGGCGGCGGTGTTGCAACTGAAGCAAAAGAAGTGGCAAATGAGTTTGGGCGAGGTGAAAGAACCTGATGAGAGAAGAGCAACGGGCTTCGTCCAATATCGAGCTGAAGCACGTCACTGGCTGGCATATCGGCGGTGGCATGGGGCCGTTTGGCGGCTGGATGCTTTGAAGGAAGCTCCAGAACAAATCTCTGAGGAGCAGCTGCGAAGGGAGCTGGAACCCTACAAGAAGAGCACTTTCTGCATCTGTGAGATCGCGTGATCTTTTTTTCGCTAGTGTTTCCAGACACTGCTTGCGAAGCAGGGCACCTCCGTTTAGTTAGGATTTTCATGTTTTGCTCACTGCTGTTATTCCCGAATGGGATGTGCCAGAGGCCAACCATGCCGTGTATGTTCTCTCTCAAGGAGGAATTTTTCTGGCAGTTCGGTTGTCCTGGCGCTGTACCCCTACAACTTTAACCTGTTACTGCGAGCGGGCGATTGCGTCTGCTTGGCAAGGTGGCAAAAGGTTCTCCTGGCTGCCCTGAAATATCTGCTTTGTTCGGCTGCCCGACTTGCTCAGATCAGCGCCGGTGTTCCGGAATGGCAAGGGCTGATTCCAACACTGGAGAAGGCGACGTAACTTGCTATGCCTTGGGACATGCGCCCGTACGCGTGCCCGCGTGCAGGTCGGTGCAGAGAACATCCGGCTGGGTTGGCCCGTGCCCCTGAGCGGCGGCTCGCCGATTCTGGGCTATCATGTCGATATGGAGGCCCTGCAGCCTGCACGTGCTGCACTAGTAGCCTTTTCCGAAGCTTTTTGTGCCGAGCTCCAAATAGGCCAACGGAGATGGTAGCTGGGAGAGGATCTACGATGGTCCGAAGCTTTTGAAGCGGGCGATGGCAGCATATGGCAGCGGGTTGTTGGGGCTTGAGGCACCAACCAGCCCTCCAAGCTGACCTTCACCGCTCTGGGGCTACATGCCTCCCTGACGTGAGGGGCCCGGGACTTCCCGCTCCGCTTCCGCTTGCTCCGGCTTCCGGGTTTGCAGGTACAACTTCCGGGTCTTCGCGGAGAACCGGGTGGGCCTGCGGCCCCAGCCGCTCGAAGAGGTCTGAGAAGGTGCAGGGGGAAACGTTCCAGCCTGGTACGAGGCTTCAGCAGCTACACCGAAGCCTCCGTAAGGCCATGGGAGAGAGAATGGGTCGGGGCGGGGCATCTCCGAGCTTCCCGTGCTTTTGAGGATATCGGACCTGATGGCGGCGCACGAGGCGAGGCCAGAGAGCATCCCGGTGTCGCTCAGCGCCTTGGTGGCACTGCCGCGTATAAAGGCCCTCTTACATGCAGCCTCACCGGCGTTTTCTTGCCTCCTGCGCTCGACTCTCAGGTGCAGACGTCGAGCCGCATCCCGAGACTCTCCGAGACTCAGAGCCGTTTTTTTTGGCAGAGGATGAATGGCACTTGTCAGGTACACCGCAAGAATTCGGTCGGTAGACCCAGTGACGCAGCTTGACGAGTCAGCCGAGCACTTAGAGGGACGGCCACGTCGTGGACAGCTTGTGAGCTTGTCGTGTGTCAGGTCGGCGGCCGCCGCTTCATCTTGTCCGTGCACGATGTCTGCGAGTTGGACTCCACTGGAACGGTTGGGCCCCTGCCATCTGAAGCCTGAGCCGACGTAGACTCCTGCTCCCTGGGTCCGCAGATTTGCGTGCGAGTGGCGGCACCGCACCCCGACTACGCACCGGACGTGCTCGGGGAGCCGGGAGCTCAAAGAGCGCCAAAGAGCCGTTCGGGGGGCCACGCCCGCCGCCGATGATGGGAGGCCCATCTGCTGCATCCACTCCCTGGACCAGAGCACAGGGCTCTACCGTTTCCCTTACACGCTCCGTAAGGCGCAAATTGCAGCCTTTTCTTGGAGCCACCCGTTACGTTTTTAGTACATTGGAGGCCGGGAAGTACTCCTTGCTGGTGCATGCCATCGAGCCGGGCGGCTTGCTGGGACAGCCCGGACCCCTTTGACAGCTGCGCAGCCAGCAGAGCCAGCACTCTAGCTGTTACCTCACTCCAGCCTCGCAAGGTATTGGGACAACCAGTGGCTCTACGGCATGCCGGTGGTCACGCGCCAGGACCGGATCCACAACCTCAGCCACCGTGCTAAGAAGGCTCCGTATGCCCCTCGCAAGCTTTGAGGATCCGGAGATTCGCCGAGAGCCCAGAAAGGAGCAGAGAAGGCTCTGATGGTGACCCTGTGACATGGCACTCAACCCTGCGTCGCCGCATCGATCTGGCTTGAAGCTTCTGCA